CGGCTTTGAAGCAGAGATGAGCACAGCCCCCTAGAGTCGGGAACAACTAGCACATATGTGTGAGGGGAACCTTTACCTTAATGTTACTTCTCTGTATTTGAAACTGAGGGATGTTATCAACTTTTTTTCTTAATTATTAATCTTAATGGTTTTGGGGTGAGGAATGTGACTTTTATGTGCCATATTCTCTTTTCGTTTTAGTGCTTCCTATTATGACCCATTACTGGGGAACAAATATGCAGCAAACAGAAAGAGCACCGGTCAGATAAACCTAAGCACAAGTCGTGGTAACTCTGGCAACTTTGTAGGCTATTACAGTCACGTGAAAAGCAATTCTTTGCGACTGAGTTTGATAGGTGAAAGGAAGAATGACCGACGGAGGAGCAACACGCTGGATATAATGGATGGAAGGATAAATCACTCCAACAGCTTAGCAAGGACTAGAAGCCTTTCCTCCCTGAAAGAGGGAGGAATGCACGATGTGCAACCTACTACTGATCCTGTCAATCTGATGGCCACCATATTCTGGATTGCAGCCTCTTTGCTGGAATCAGATTATGAATATGAATACCTCTTGGCTCTCAGGCTCCTCAATAAACTTCTTGTTCATTTGCCTCTGGATAAACCTGAGAGCAGGGAGAAGATTGAACAGATGCAGAGCAAATTAAAATGGAATAACTTTCCAGGCCTTCAGCAGTTATTCCTGAAGGGCTTCACCTCTGTGTCGACCCAAGAAATGACAGTTCATTTACTTAGCAAACTCATTACAGTTTCCAAGCATATGTTGGTGGATCCATCCCAAGTAGCAGGTATTTTTTTAAATGTTTTGGGGATTAGACTGTCCAGAATCGTGAGTTGATGTAGGGATGGTTTTATGTGTTTTGTTATTAGATTTGTTATTGGATTTAAAGTGTATCCTTCCTATTCAAGACTGCTTCCAAAATTAGAAATGATAAAGTGTAAAATTGATACCATTTAAATGGAGATAAAATTAAAATGCATTTTGTTTCCCCAGGGGGCCTGACAGGAATGTTATTAGATAGATGAGGTTCTGAAAGGGGGGACCCTAAAAATGGCCTCCCCTTCAGATAGTGCCTAAGCCATTTACAGCTTTTAAGGCCAATGTCAGCATCTTAAACTGTATCTAGCAATGCTAGGGCAAAACGTTCAGTAAAGCCACACTAAGATTTCACCAACTTCTGACTTTCAATCTTGCTGTTGCATTTTATGTTGGCTGCATTTTCTGGACACTTCAGGAACAGCCTGAAATGCACCAAGCAGTAGTTAAGAAAGGCTACAGATGGGTTATATTGCTAAGGCTGTCCAGCTCACGAAGAGTTACAATTTGTATACTTGTAATTCTCCCAGTAGGTGGAGACATCAGCCAGACATGGGTTATCTTGGTCAGTATCCAATAGGACTGAGTCTACCAAATGATAAGTCACGCCTTCCATGCTAGCTCCTCCCAGCTTAGACTCAGTCCTATCCTTGGACTGGCTGTGTCTGTTGATCTCTCCACTAGGGTTTTCTATTAATTTGATAATATTTTACTCTAAATTCCTTCTAATTCGACTTATTGGCTATTCCAAATTCCAATCTTAGTGAATTTCATCGGTTCGGAGCTTGGGGGCAGGATTATGGCCAGGAGCCGCTCCCTGGCCTCAGTGGGTCATCAGAGGGATGTCTGTATGAGGTGTCCCTGCTGTAGGTGTTATTTGGAAACCTCATCATAACCAGAGGCCAAAGGCACTCCCAAATTGGCATCCTGTTCTTTCTCGGGATATGCATCCTTATCCAAAATGGACTTTGCTTCAATCCCTGCATGCAACATTCTCCATACCAATAGCACCTCGGTCTTGTTTGGATTTCATTCTGGGGTTGTTTTTCCCTCATCCATTATTAAGTTTAGGAAACGTTCACAGACAATTATTGCTTCTTCAGAATTAGATGTCAAGAGGCAATAGAATTCGTATTATCAGCATTCCATGTTCTGTCTCAGCAGTTCCACATTAAACAAATAGGAGACCATATAAGAACCCTGTGAGGCACTCTAGATAAATAGCACTTAGCAATAGGACTTAGACTTATATCCCGCTTCGCATTGCTTTACAGCCCTCTAAGCGGTTGGCAGAGTCAGCCTCTTGCGCCCAACAATCTGGGTCTTCATTTTACCCAGCTCGGAAGGAAGGAAGGCTGAGTCAACCTTGAGCCAGTGAGGCTCGAACTGCCAACAGTCAGCAAAGTTAGCCTGCAATACCACATTCTAACAACTTCACCACCACGGCTCATTAAATATCCTAGGTATCAGAACAGTAGCCCTTCAAATCCATTTTCTGGGTGTTTATCAACGGGGGGGACACCACGGCAAGTTTTAAGAGATGATAAACATTTGGGTACAAGCATCTATCAAAACAATCTTCTTTTGTCTGGATTGAAAAAGAAAAGAGATTTTGGTAGAGGCGTAGAATAAAGGCCAGACATTGTAAAAACTGATAGTGTCTGGCAAAGTAGATAACCTGGTGTCCTGATAATTTGTATTCCTGGTCACGTCGTTTAGGTCTTGTGCAACCGGGGCAGCCAGATTGCCTATCCTCCATACGACAGGTTTCTTAGGCATTTCTATTTTTGCTGATATTAAAAGTATAGGTAGTACCCCATGAAATAGTTGCCCATAGAAAGGATGGAAATTAGTTTTCTAAATTCTGCAGATAAATTCAACTTCATCTTTTTCTATGCAGGATTTCCTCTTAACATATTATGTTTATTGCCTCATTTAATTCAACATTTTGATAATCCAAGTCAGTTCTGCAAAGAAACAGCTGACAGAATAGCGAAGGTAGGTAATAAGCAGAAATAATTCAACTTTGTTTAGTTTTCATGGTGAAGGCAATTTGATCAAATGTGCTGTCTGTACATTCACACACACGGGTTTGAACTTGTATAGGCTATGAAAGAGTTCTGTCACTAATATTTTCCTCAGAATCCTATCCCTGAATATCTTTCCCTCCTTCTTCTTCCCTCTTTTGGCTGTCTGCCTTAGAATTACAGTATCCAGTTTACCTTTCGTATAAGCCTGTGATGGCAAACCTATGACACGCATGCCACAGGTGGCACATGGAGCCGTATTTGCTGGCACGTGAGCCGTCACCTCTGGCAAGCATGTGCCCGCCGGCCAGCTGATTTTCAGCCTTCCGCAGGGGCAGGGGAGCCCATTTTCACCCTCCCCATGCTTCAGGAAAGCCTGGGGAGGATGAAAACTCCCCCTCCCTCCATGGGGGTTAATGCACACATGCACGGGGGTCTCATGCGCAGGTGAGTGGGGTGCATTGAATTGTGGGTGTGGGCATGTGCGCGATAGCGCACGCACACAATTTTGGCACGCCTTTACAAAAAGGTTTGCCATCACTGGTATAAGCATTCTTCCTTTTTTACTCCTATTTTTCCTCCTATCATTCTTCTCCTTTTGTGTTTTAAAGTTCCTCAGTATTTCATCAACAGAACTCTCATAGCTGTCCTTTTGTGGATGTTGTAATTGAGAAAGTCAACTTTAATAAAAAATAAAGTCTCTTCTGCCTTTATGAGAGGCTCTGAGTTCATAATATCCCCACTATCATACTTTACACCTTAGACACAGTGATATGGGTTGTTTCACTTGCAACGTCCACTATATGTCTACTACCACTTTAGGTTAGCAATAAGTAGATCAGATCACAATACAAAGACTCCTTCAGTCAGTCAGAAATCCATGTTCAGGCTACGGTCCAATCTTGCTCATCTCTGTTTTTTTTTAATTTAGGGTCAGAACTATTCATCTCAGCTTAATTGTAGTACTTCAAACAAAACTGCTGGAAAAAAATCTGTTCTTATATTCAACAGATTACAACTGAGTGTTCTAGCAAGCAAGAGATTCAGATTCACTGTGGAAGGATGGATATGCAGTAGAGTAGCAAAGTGCCTGAACTGACAATCTCCCTCCACTCTGCCAGAAACCAGCCCTTTAAGAAGGGGCTCGACTTTAGTAGAGTGGGGAGGCACTAAGGAAATGGAGGGAGGTTACTGGGGAGCCAAAGTTACTGGGAAGATCAGAAAGGAATTGATATAGAGTGACAAAGGAAAAAGGGTGGCATTTAAAGTTGAATAAGAGCCCATAGTAACAACAATGTTAAAAAGGGTGGCTCAGTGGCTAAGACGCTGAGCTTGTTGATCAGAAAGGTCGGCAGTTTGGCGGTTCAAATCCCTAGCGCAACGTACAGGAGTGAGCTCACCTTACTTGTGCTTCTGCCAACCTAGCAGTTCGAAAGCAGGTAAAAATGCAAGTAGAAAAATAGGAACCACCTTTGGTGGGATGGTAACAGTGTTTCATTCGCCTTTGGCATTTAGTCATGCAGGCCACATGACCACAGAGACGTCTTCAGACAGCGCTGGCTCTTCGGCTTTAAAACGGAGATGAGCACTGCCCCCTAGTGTTGGGAAGACTAACACATATGTGCGAGGGGAACCTTTACCTTAACAACAATGCTAAGAATGTAATAGCTAGAAGAACAAAGGACACCGATAGCAACAGTTTAAGGTTGGGCAGTGACAATCAATTGAGGATGATAAAACCTCTCCCCAAACCCCCTAAGGAAAGCCTAGACTGCTAGCATCCAGGAAGTCTTTACCAAAGCAGAAACTTGGTTATGCTGTATTGCGTAGAGAAAATCCCAAGCACTGGCATCTAAGTGAGTTGCATACAGGATGCTTTGAGTAGCCCAGAGCTCCAGCAGAGGTGATGGAACAACTAGAATGCGCCCCTTCATGGTACTAAACAACAGCTAAGAAAAACAGTATTGCTAGATTCTTTATGCTTTTATCCCAGTTTTCAACCCAGATTTCTAAATGCTGCAATGCCACACAAACTGGGCACTGAAGTGAATAGATTTATCTACTTAGAATAAATGCATTGCAGTTACTAGGTTTTAAGACAATCCTTACTAATAAATGAATAACTCTTTTCAATCAGTCTGCTCTATCTAACAACACTGGATTCACACGTTGTTTGCTTACCCAATCAAATCTAACTCACCGATTAGCTGGGTTCATAGATAAGCCTTAAGCCAGAACCAAACAAAGCACATTATTCCATAATGGGATTTTGAACTCAAACAAAATCTATAGTCATAATAATGGCTGTTACAACTTGTAATAAAGTCAGGGCTCTTTTTTTAAAATTAAATGTTTAAATAGATAGTCCAGTAACTAATATTTTGACTTTTTGTTCTTAGGTTTGTACAGAAGAGAAATCCCCAACTCTTGCTAATTTGGCTCATATGATGTGTTTATACAGCACACACAGTTATTCCAGAGACTGCTCTAATTGGATTAACGTAGTGTGCAGATATTTGCATGACTCATTCTCAGAAACAACTTTTAATCTGATAACCTACCTTGCAGAGGTAATCATTCTTTGTACATTTGGGTATCTCTTTCAGGTATTGGATACTATTCTTCATTTGAAGTTGCACATTTTGGTTTCTCACAGTTTACTGTTACCAAATGGATCTTCCCAGTTCTGGTTCGATACTTTAACCATTATAATCAGGGGTGGTATTCACTTACCTTCCCTACCGGTTTGCAAATGTGAGCACACGTGCCACCTCCACGGATGTGCTCAGCCTTCCGCGCATGCTCTTTTGGCTAAAAAAGGACCTAAATGGGATGCCATAAAGCCGGTGCAGGTGGGCGGGGCCACTCGCGATTTCCACTACCAGTTCGGGCGAACAGGTCCGAACTGGTAGAAGACCACCTCTGATACTACATTGGCTTTTAAACTTCCAAATACACACTTCTAATGTTATACATCAGATACTACTTAGTTTATTGAATGTGAGGGCAGGTCCATTAAAGACATAGGTTATCTAATGGCTTACTACTTTGCATTTAATGTCATTTTGATATTTTGAATAATCCATTTTACACATCTGTTTTTTAGCTGTTAGAAAAAGGGATCTCCAGCATGCAGCAGTCTTTGCTACAAATCATTTATAGCCTTTTGAGCCACGTTGACCTGTCCACAGCACCGGTGAAGCAGTTCAATTTGGAGATCATAAAGATCATTAGCAAATATGTACAGGTGAGTAGTTTAAAGGGACACAATTGAAAATGTCACATCTTTCCATTTAGAGAAATGGATTTGGTGTTCTCTGGATCAGGGTGTACAACTGCCACATTTTGTCCAGCGTACATTAATCTATGCCAGTGTTTTTCAACTTGGCAACTTTTAAGATATGTGCACTTCAACTCCCAGAATTCCTCAGCCATGTATGCCCAATGTTGGTAATGAGTCAAAGCAAGCTTGATTGGGGCAGGATGGGAGTTCTAAGAGGTGAAATGGACACCTTAAAGGCAGAAGGCACGTTTTGGTCCTTGAAAATGCCCTACCAACAAGGGCCACATTTTTATCTTTACAATCTTAGGAACATTGAAGAGAAATATTGGAAAAATGCTTGTAGTTCAAAGACCCCTCCCTTTCTGTATCTCTGAGCAAATAGCAATAGAAGTTTTTTGTAACATTTTTATAAATAGTCTAAACTTCAGTTTTATTTAATAATTGGATATATTTTATCCAGTCTGTATGGTTCCACATAAATACCTATTTATTTTACACCAAATTGCTGTCCAAATAATATTAAAATATACCTGGATGGAACATTTTAGTTGTGATCAGTTAAAATTAATAAAAAGAGAATGACTCATAAATCCAGTTTCTGCATGGTATATTTTTTTCCAGATGAACTTTGCACCAAATAATAGTGTGTTTGAATTATTTCTCTCCCAAATAGATACAGCTACTAGAATTCAGCAAAATGTGGACATAGATAGTGGCCCAGTAATCTGCTTATCCTGTGGCAATTAGAAATAAGGCTTCTAAGTAGTTCATTTAATTTAATCCCTGGCAGATATTTATGTTTGTTAACTGATGCTTTTTCAGAAGATCAGGAGCATATGTAGATGACTTTATTACCATTTTTAGTACTGTACATTGAGGGGTCTTTGGTACATTCTGAGCTTTTGGCAGTGGTTTGCTCTCTGAGCTTGCCATTTAGCTCCCAAACGTTTCATTACCAGGCTACATAATGTGATGACCAGAGGCATGACACAAAGGCAACACAGCCAGAGAACTGATATGAGTTCTTTTATTAACACCAATTGTACCCCCAACATCCCTTTCAACTCTCCGGCCTGGAGAAAAGCTCTTCCACAAACCTGTAACAGCCTTTCGCTGAAAATACTCCAGTCCAAACGTTATAAGCAGAAAACCGGCAGGGCAAGCAAGATAAGGACTTCCAGAAGTGAAGTAGTATGACAGTAAAAACTAGTTGGGAGCATGCCAGGAACTCAGATAAGCAGTTAACACCAGATGAACTCAACGTTTGTTCCCAACAACCATCCCTCCCATTTGCCTCTCCTTTAAACTCCATCCCCAGGTGTGCCTTGTGAAGGGAATCGGGGCCCTTACCTCCCTCATAAGCCACACAACCCACATTGCTCTCTTATCTGTTCTTCTTTGCGTGCCCTAGGATGAGGGGGGGCTTGTTCTTCATCTGAATGCCCTCTCCCTCGTTCTACTCTCTCTGGCTCTGCCCAGTCTGACTTTGCCCTTCCCCAGTTACCTCCACAGCCAATGGAGCCACTCTCCCGCTCTCTGTCAGCTGTTTGTCTTCCCCCTTGGATTCAGTCTGGATTTACTTTTAAGAAAAAGCAGAGGATTATAAACTCATAGTTTATTAAAAACTGTAACCATAATTTTCCAATTTGACTAAACCTTTACAGACTTCTTGATTGAGTAAGGTTCGCATGAAGGAGCTTTTTGTGAGCAAAATGCTCATTATTGAACTTTAATCTGAATATAGTGTTATGATAGGGCATATTTTTGTTGTTATGAAAAATCATGTGGTGATAAAAGAGAGCAGTTAATGAATTTTTAAATTTTATCAAGTGGAACCAATCTGCCAGCAACTTAAAAGCAAGACCTGCTGTGCTGATGCCTTTTTGTAAATTTTCCTTCTCATCCCATTTTCTGACCTTTCAATTGGATATATTGTTTTGAATTTCATCATAAAATAAAGCCAACACACTTAGCCAACTCTCTTCCTGTGGGGTGACCCTCGTCCTCTGATTATTAATAGAGAATAGATTATTCCTCTGATTATTAATAGAGAAGTTTGACGTCCCCACTCCATATTCTGAAATTAAACAACTGAAGCAGCCTTTCTACCCAAGATTAACTTACTCCAATTACCTGTTGTGAAATTGCTGTTAATTTAAACCAATTAATGTAAAATAACTGTGAGAAAAGTAAATAAGTTCTAAGTACCAGCTACAGTGCTAAAAACTTTAGCATGCATAATTAACATTCACATACTTGTAAGCGGTAAATGGTAGGCCTATAGATATTCCTTGAAAAACATACTTTGGAATGTGTAAGGGTATATAAGAAGCACCTCTGTAAGAAAGTGGTGCAGCTGTGCATGCACACATATGCAGAAAAACCCAGGAAAACCTTAAGCAACTGTGGAGCTGAAAAGAGGGTTCCACCACAAAACCGTGGACGACAAAATCGCGGTCGACGAAAGCGCGCATTTGACGTCATCACAGCACGATGAAAACATC